ATGTTATTATCACTGTGGCCAACCAGCTGCCTCTGGAAAACACCACAAGCAAGACATGACTGCAATGGCACCCGTCTGTTTATGGTCCCTAGCAGCTGGTGTTCCTGCTGCCTCCAGTACTGGAGGTAGGGCAATCTATACCTTACTGTGACTAGTAGCCATTTATAGCATCACCCTGAATGAATCTGCCTAATTTCTTTTAATACTATCCAGGTTGGTGGCCTTCCCCACATCTTGTGTTAATGAATTATATCTGTTTTCTAACATTTAGCTTCGCTGGTGACACTCAGTTCTAGCATTTTGAGAGAGGAAGAGAAAAAGATTTCTGTCCATCTTCTCCACAGCATGTATAATGTCACACACCACTGTAAAGTCTCCCCTGACTCACATATCTTTAGCCTAACAGCCCCGAACAAGGTAAATTTTTCTCACAGTAGAGCTCATTTTGGTTGGCTTTTCCACACTTTTTCTGGTTTTACAATACCCTTTTTGAGGTGCAGTGACCAGAACTGTATGTGTAGCATAAAGTGAAACGATATTGGCAGTTTGATTTTCGGTTCCTTTCCTAAAGTCAATTCTATTTTTTCCTTCCTTTTTTTTAAACTTTAGTCATGAAATGGCTACTCAAGCAGCAAAAAGAAAGTGTTCAAAAGATAAAGAATGAGGGAGGGACCTGAAGACATTTCTGGACAAGGGATTTCTTGGCTGGAATACAGTCCATTGTGTTTGAAACATTTCCATATTGCTCATCATCAAAGCTAATTTCAAAGCAAAATTTTAAAATAAGTGATATGCAAAAGTAAAAATGCTTAATATACCAGGAGCAAAAGGAACTCGAGCAAGCTTAAAAAGCAGGGTGCATAAACATTATCTTGGCTTGCGGTAGACATTCATAATGCAGCTGAAAAGGTCTCCAGAGTTATTGTTACCTGCTTCACTACCGAAAACGTCAACACATGGGAGAAGATCGGGTTTGGGGCTTTACAAGTAAGCATGAGCATTTTGAATTGGGTTTAGAAGTGGACAGGCAGCCAACATTTGTTGTTGTTGTTGTTGTTGTTGTTGTTGCCCAAAATGATGAGATACAATCTAGTTAGGCTAGTTTGTACCTGGGCCTCCTAGGACTAGCGCTGTTCATTTTCCATTTACAAAATGGAGACATTATTTCCCCATACATCCTTATTGTTTGCATGCTTTATTTCTGTTTTGTAACTCATTTTGGATGCATCATGTATAGCACTGCAACCCATAATATTCAAAGTTCTCCTGAGAGATTCAAAGTTGTGGCTTTGAAGAAGTTTTTTTTTTTTGAGTACGTATATGTGAACGCACTATGTTGGAATGCAGTATTTGTCATTTGATTTCTTTAGTGAAGCAATTGTATGAATTTAAATTAATTGATTAATTCTACATAAATCTGCATACAAATGACATAGTAGTTTTGAAGGAGAAAGCATTCAGGTGATGCACATATAGCACTGCTGATATAATCTGAAAAGAGATATTTCTTCCTGAAGAAGATGCCTCTTCTAAGATGGTACCTCTATTGCCAAGTTTTTATTGGTACTAATATTTATTTTTAAATGATTGCTTGATTAATTAGAGATGCCCTTTTCAATTTAACAGAACATTCTCAATCAATCTACCAAATAATTGGCAGGTCAAACAATCCTGTGGCCCACAGAGAGTGTCTAGGAGGCCATAGGATGTTTTGGAAAGGTCAGAAAAAAGGTCACCCTCAGAGCACTCTTGCCCTTTCACAGCTGGTATGGAAGGAATTGCAGCAACTGCACCTCAAAAGTCACAACAGCAACCTCAGAGAAGCAATCCTCATGTTTGTCCCCAGCACACCAGCCTCCTTCACTCCCTGTCTGAAGCACTACAGCTTGGTTGCCAAGCTCAAGCTCTGGCTGACTTGCAGGGTGGGAGGAGCATGGGGGTGACCTTCACCTCTGTGCTTTCTCTGTGTTCCACAGGATACCTGTATTCTTCCACGTCTGAGTGCTTACAGGCAGCCACACTGGATTACCCTCTGAGACAGCAGCCCTAGTTACCTGTGTGACTTTTCAGAGCGGGTCCTATGATGCCTGATGCATCTTTCTCATGAGGCTATTGATGTAACATCACGGCATTACATGTTATTTATTTATATATACATTTATTTATTTATTAGATGTATATCCTGCCTTCTTTTCAAAAACTCAGAGTGACTTATATCGTTCTCCTGCTGCTGCTCTCAGTCTTACCCTGTGATGTAGGTCAGGTTGAGCATCTGTGACTGGCCCAAAGTCACCCAGTTTTTCCATGTCTGAGTGGGAACTAGGACCCAGATCGCCTGAGTCCCAGTCCTGCATACCACACCACACTGGCTCTCTTAAACGCTGTGGCTGAAAGCTACAAAATGTGCAGCTCTGGAGTTAAGCGAATTGACTAGTCCACAACTCAGAGAACCTTTTGTTTCATTAATGACCATGCAGTTATGAAGGAAGGGATGCCCATGGCCTCTCCTAGATCACTCCTCATTCAGTCCATTGAAGAAGCAGCTATTCTTGTTCGTAGTCTCTTCTTTCCTCGCTACAACTCGCTCCGGACGGCTTCTGTGATCCCCTCCCATTGTATCCTTATTATGACCCTGTGAAACATGCTAACCTAACAAGGACTGTCCCAAGGTCACCCACTGGGCTGCATGGCTGGGTGGGGATGTGAACCCGGGTCTCCCAAGCGCCGTCCAGTGTGATATCCAGTCTGCCGCATGAGCAAGGAACTCTGCCTGCATCCTCCCTGTGGTGTTAAAGAAATGCCAGGGGAAGTTCTCTAGGCTGCGAAGTGACCATCCAGGCTGTTAGTTTCCAATCCCAGGAAGGTCATATGGGGCACAATATCTCAACCATACCAGCTTGTAGGAAATGAGGATAAATGAGAAATTCTGTACAGCATTTAGCACAGTATAAAGCACCATGGAGGTGATTAACAACATGTTCGGATTAACATCCTCAGTGCTGCTATGCACTCTTTCTTGCGCATCACTTTAGATCTCATAGGCTTCCGTCCTGCAGCTGTTTCTCTGGGGTTGGTGCCAGAGCCAGGATTTTGAGGGCCCCTGGCAAGAGACCCTGAATGCCGCCGCCGCCTCCAGTGAGTGTCCCTTTCCACTACCATTGTCACTTGCTCCCCATCCTCTTTCTCATCATAGCTACCACTTATTTGGAGCAAGCATGGTATTTGCACCTCCTCCTCCTCGACTCCATTGTTACCTGGTCCAGAATTAGAGGCTGCAATGGGGAAGAGGAAGGGCAGCTTCTCAGTGGGGATCTTTGGATGTCAGGTCAGCCTGGGAGTAAGAACCATTGAATTCAATGGGACTCCCTTCTGAGTAGCTGAGGATAATGCTGGCAATTTTATCTTGCAGCTTTTAACAGATTAGTCTCATTGTTTGCCCCATGAGATGAGGTCACCTGGAAGCCCTGCCTCTGGCGTAGCCATGATGTTGCAGTTTCTGAGTCAGGGACATGCATGCAGTGTCAGGAGCAGTTCATGGTACATTTCAATTGTGCATATTTCTCTTCCTCTTTCTCACCCCCAATTTTCTTTCCTAAAGTGATTGAGCTGTATTCCCAGCTAAGCAGCTAGCTCCAGCATCCAAAATGATATCGCAATCTACCTCCATGATATTATGAAACTGCATGCAAGAAAAGATTTGTACACAAGGTGGGGATGTTAGCAGCTAGCTCAATTTTATCCCTGTCACACCCTTGCAATAAATAACAAATACATTGTTTTCGGCATGAACGTTCCCAGAGATAAATTTGCTGGCTTATGCTCAAGCTGAGGGATGTGAAAGACAAAACCTGAGATATGCTGTAGGGCTGCCTAATAAACACAAAGATCAACATTTATTATTTGGTTTAATGGCAGCTTAAAAAAATTAATGGTAATCTTCCTGTCTTTCAGGGTTTCTTGTTTTTACTGTCATAATTTCACCACAAGATTCACAGAGCATTTCAAGCACAAGTGGTACCAAATAAGGTAGGTCACGCTAATAGATGGCTGTGTTATCTTTTGTTCATCCCCCTGTTTTAAGCAAGCAGTCTCTGTGACGATGGAGTATCTCAGGCTCGCCTTTGGAAAATGGAGTGTCTCCTTTTGAACCAACCTAGGACGAAGCCTGCAACGAAACCAAGGAGTAGGGTAATAAATAATGACAACAGATGTTTGTCAACCAAGGAGCTCCTGTGTTCGGCGTTTCCATGTGTTGTCTTGTCTTGATACGCTGTCAGCCTCCTCTCACCTGGGACTAGTGATATCTTATCAAAGCCGAAGCAGTTCCTTTTCACCACAAGCAGATAATAGTGCCTTTCAATTTGTCATACGAAGAGTCTAAAAGAACCATGGGAACGATTGGTCAGGTGACAACTTGATGGACAGCTTGACAGCCCTTAAAGCATCATGGGAAATGGCTGTCACCTGCTTTTTTTTTCAGAGCTACCAGGGAGATAACCTTCAGTGTGACAGAGGGGAAGAATCTGAATATTTGCAGTTGGGTTTGCTAACCGCGTCACACTCGCTTAATTGATAACAGAGGTGAATGAAAATTATTTGGAATGATGTCATCAGAGCTAGGATCATTTCATCCTGTAAATGGTTCTGGCAACTTTACCATATTTTTTATTTTAAACATGAATGATGGGTGAAGGAATTGACCATATATTTAACAATAATAATTTGTTTCTATTCTACCACCACTACCAGAAGTTATTACAATTTGCATTGTGTCAATACCACATTTTTACTATATATTAGCATTTTATATCTATAGTAAAATATAGCCTGTGTAAATGGGATTGAAAACCTAATGGAAAGCATTTGGAATTTTTATTATCGTAAAAGCATTAATAAGGAAGGATTTATGGTGTTCCTGTGACCAAAATGTTCCTATCTTCAGCAATGGTTGTCTGTTCCCATGGAAGATTCCTACTTTGGGCATGTTGCTGCATTACAAAAATTTCTGCCATTGTCACCATGTATAAGCAGAAAGCATATACATGTCTGTATTAAGGGCATGCAGAATTTGTTTTCTTGGAATTATGATTACTGGAAACCACTGGAAAGGTGGATAACAAATGGTTTAAAAATAAATAAATAGAACTTGAAAGGATCCAAAGGCCATCCAGGTAGGTTGCCTACCTACCCACCTACTTACCTGTGAGGGGATCCCATCCACCTCTCTGTCCGTCCATCCATTTTTGAATAAAATGGGAGGTTGATTACACTGTAGCACTCTATTCAAATATTTGTTACTTTTTAAAAATCATATTTCTGCTTTCTCTTTCTTATTTCCCTTGCATGTGTATAATTATATTATTCAGATCGTAGCAGAAACAGTAGTAACTTGTGTTTCAGCTATTCTTTGTTACTTTGAGCACAAGGCAACTCATTCACACGCTTGCACATGTGCACACGCAGAGAGAGAGAGAGAGAGAGAGAGAGAGAGAGAGAGAGAGAGAGAGAGAGAGAGAGAGACTGCTTCAGCAATAGACCTAAAATATACAAAAAACAAGAAAAAAAAGTGGAATCCCATGTGATGGGCTTTATCCAACTATCCAGAGAAGGGGATATTTAGATATTCGGGAGCGGGGGACAGGGGCAGGGTGTTGATAGAAGTTCCATTACATGACGCTGCAATGGGACCGGGCTCATATAATTCTAGCAGAGTTAATACTGGAGGAACTTTTAATAGATACAAACTTCTCAGGCATCAGGGTGGTTTCATATGACATGCACACAGATAAAGTATCCTTTCCGTTTAGTGACATAGGTACTAATTGTAATCTGCTTAGAGGGTTCTCAGGCCAATATACTGGAATGTAAGTTTAATAAACAAATGATGTATGAATCTATCCAGTGGCACTTGTATCACTTGCCTTAGAGTGTTTCTAAGCATAAGCTCAAGGTCTGGCTAGTAAGTTCTCAACAGATCCTAAGGGAATCAGACCTCAGATCGCCAGCTTACTGCTGTCCCTTGAATGCTGAAGATCGATCAGCAGTGCCTTCTGCCTGCTCAAGCGGCTTACTGCTTTGGGTCGGTAAGCGTGCTTGTGTAAAGTGCCAGTCGCTGTCTTATGCTGAGTCAGACCATGGGCGCTGCATCTCACTCAGCACTGTCAACGCTCCATGGTTTTTCTTTTTACCTCCCAGCCTGCCTGCAGGTGCTGCAACCTTCTGCATGCAGAGCATGTACTTTGCCACAGAGCCTTGGCCCTCTCCCTTAAACAGCCCTCAGATTCTCATGACCTCCTGCTGGACAATGATTATGGATGCCTCTCCTCTTGAAGGATCTAAGTCCACGCCTTAGCGTCTCCCCTCATTGCTGTTGGTCCCAGGCTGCCTGGATCTCCCTTTCTCTCTGTATGTGTTTGATGGAATACCTTTAAAATAAAACAGTAAGATATACTGTGGCACTTCACACCAGCATTCTGTAGACAGTGATCTGGATTTACACCCTGTGCCCACTTCCTTCCTTTCCCGTTCCAGAATGGATCAGGAATCATGGGAATCTCTGGCACTTCTTCCCCTTTTTCCAGTTATTTCAAGACTAGTTTACCTTTATGTTGCCTTTTTTCTCTTCCTGCCATCCTCCCTTCATATCTGAGGAACACTCTTTATCCCTAATAACCCCCTTTGTCCTCTAAGCACTTTAGTTCCTTTTCAGGCTTTCCTGACATTTACTACACTGTTGTCTGTCCTGGAATATAGATTAAAGGAAAGGAATAATTAATTTTACTTTAGAAAAATTATTCCAATATACTACTAATTCTAATGTACTAGTAATTTCAAGGTATACCTTGAAACCCCTTTCTCACCTTGTCTGTACCTGAGAGGAAATTCTTGTTCATTTGCATAATACTGATTTCCAGACCAAGTTAAGAGTATACCTAGCAATGTAATTTAGATGATACATCTTTCATTCTGCCCAGATCAGTTTTTCAGTAGTCCTCTAGCTTTTGCATCAGTGTTTTGTCTATTTTTACCAGACTTTAAAATGCAAAGTATATTCAATAAAGTAAATTTATTAGTAAATAACAGGAAAGAGACCAAAAAAATCTGTGCTGTCTAGTCTACAAACCATTTTAGGTGGAGAACTTGTTTTCCAACAATCAAAGTCAATTATGTTAAACCACTTCACGTCTACTTCACATCCAATATTCAAGTTCATATATTAGGGTCAGAACTATGATGTATTTTATTTTCCATACACATGTATTTTAATTGGAGGGAAAGAACTGGTATCATTTGCACTCAGATAAAATGTAATACTCAGATACATGTGATATGAAAAACTGGACCTGAGACAGATTTTTCATCCACTGCATATATTTTGGACTTCAGCAGCCATCAGCCCTAACTGGTATTGCCAGTGGTCAGGGATGATGGGGTTGTAGTGCAAAACATCTGGAGGATACCAGGTTGGGGAAGGCTGACCAGATGTGAAGGAAAATGAGGCTACGTGTGGCAAGGACAGAATTTCAGCAAAGGCCGTTATCTTAACCGAGTACAACAGCTGTCAACATTTTTTTCTTCTGGACAGTATTTGAAGCGCAGTGGCTCAGTTCTCATTTGCATATAGCCACTCTGCTTTGACTCTAACATCCCTGGCTATCAGAGCCAAACATACTTTAAAAATATTATTCTGCTCATGAAGCCATGGAGCTGGAGGGGGCTACCATTCTGAACAGGTTTCAGGTTTGTAACCTCATGGTGATTTGGGGATGCATTTATGTAGACATGTGGCTTGGTGTGTAGAGATACTTGAGTTACTACACGCAAATGATCACATGCTTATACTCTAGAATAATTAGTCTGAAATAATTAATATGAAATGACTGCTACCATCTTTTGCGTTTATTCACCATTACTAATGCAGATTACAATCACCAATGAACACATAAATATGTATGGATTGGGAGAGAGAATCCGCCATTTGACTACTCTTTAACCACCCTGATTTTGTGCTCAAAAATCAGTAGATTTCTAATGTATCTTTTCTCCCTGTCCCTTCTCCCTGGCCCTTCAGCTGCCCAGTTTTTCCCAAGGATTGTGACACTGCAATGTGTGTGATGACTTTTGTGTGGTTTTCCCCCCAGGGATGTCTAGAATGCCCAGAGATATGTTAGCTCTGTGGAGGGCCTAGCAGATGGTGAATCTGGAGGCAGATTTTTTTTTTTTTAAGATGAGTACGGGGAGGTCTCTTTTTAGCTTTTCACAGCTTGCCGTGGATGGGGCCATTGTTCTAGTCAGCTGTGAGTTACAGAGTCTATGGTGTGAGATACAAAGAAGGACCCTTCCTTCTGTCCCAAGGACCTCTTTGTTGCATTTCCTTTTTTGAAATAGTTAATATTTGGACTCAAGGTTTCTTGTCCTTATTATCATGCTTTCTTTCAGGACTTGATCCATTTGCTGTAAATTTCTAGTGCTGGCTTTTCAGATGTGGAAACTGAAGCATTAGGACCCCCCACCCCCAATAAATTCCTAGCTGCTTTGCAGTCACTCACTAAACACTCACAAGCATTTTCAAGTTGCCCTTTGATTTTAAAAAAATTCTTAAATAGTATCGCCCATTTCGTATACATTTTACATTATAAATACAATTGTGTGTATGTTGACTCAACACAACTCAGGTTGCTTCTTGCCATTTGCTTTTACTTGCAGCATTTCCACAAACCATGTGTTTGTTAAAAGGGTGTGTAGTTTGAGCTGATAAACAACCACACAGAAAGTATATTTAGAAGGGCCAGCTGATTTCCCTGATAAAAGAATGCATGCATTGAGTAAACTCATCAAAGCTAGCATGTTCTGTGTGTTACATGTTTAAGTCATTTGTCTAACAAAATGTTTTTACTGCAACTTTATTCACTTTTTCCACCAAAAGGAAACATGAAGATGAACTAGATTGGAATGACATGTCAGTCCTATGCAACCCTTTAACCATGCTGCAGTGGCAAATTTTGGAGTGTATCAGTCGACACGATCATTCCCAGAGCCTCTTCCCGGAGGAAAGTCCAAAAATTCTGGCAGCCACGTTGATTCATATTAATTTGAATAACGCTCAGTGCGCTGCTCAGGAGCAGCAGTTTTGTTCAGCTAATGGGTAACTTGACTGTTCAAGACCAAGCTGGTCCTAAAATAGTATAACATGGAACAATGAATTGTTGCTACAGATATTAATTCTCTTCAGCTATGGTGAGATTACAGGTAAACTCAGAAGGAACGGAGAAAGGTGGCAGATGAGATTAATATCCCTGCTTTAAAAAAAGTGGCAGGGCATCATTCCTGTGAGTCCTGGCTCCACTGCACCATGCCTCTTTCCCCTAGATGCAGCTGACTTGGCTTGTAAGCCCGCATGCAGAATTGCAGGTGTGCCTCAACCCAGCATTACGTGGTATGTCAGCCCATGACCTTTTCATGGAGGCCCACCTGGTCATGACTGTCTTTTTTCGGCACCAAACTAATACCCTCATTTTCTCCCAGGCATCTGATGGCTTTTAAGGATGGACAATAGTATGAGGAGGCATTTATCTCGGTTATCTTTAACAGATCTAGTCTGTACTACATTTGTTTCTAGTTGATGGATTGTTTTAAAATTTTGAGCATTGGAAAAAAATATTCTGTGTTTATTGTATACGTGGGCCATTTTTGTAAGAATGGTTGTGAACTACCCAGACTACTTCAGCTATTGGGCAGTATATAAATGAAATGAGTTTGTATAAATACATTTAACAAAATGGACTTCACAAAATTCACTTAACCTGGCTTATTTCCAGGTGAGTTGAATGTAGCATAACTGCAATTGTCTTGCAGTTGTTCACTTTTTTCATTTTTGTATTTCTCCTGAGACAATATAAGAGCTTTCCTGTCCCCTCCTTAGAGGCATTTTGCAATGCTATAAAAACGGTGATGAAACCGACGAGGGATGGCATCTTTTGGACAAAGTTTGCTCAAAATTTGGCATCCTTAAATTGTTGCCACAAATATATTCCCTTTGGCCTTCCTCTGTTGTCCCCCACTCCCAGGTAGTAACTATGTCAGCCTATTGCAGTGAAAACTGCAAAAAGTCTAGCAAGTTTAATCAGTGTAATGGAGTTTTATCATGCTACATGCTTACCTAGTGCCAGAGTGTTTGCTGTCAGCAACAATTAACGCCATAAATGACCAATATTGATCATGTAATTGTCACCATCAGTACTTTTTCTATTGAATTTCCTTCTGACTTCCCCATTTACCATTCTTCTCACCCCAACATAAAATATGTATTATATAAAAACCTGAAACCCTCCATAATATGCTGTGCACCTCAAAAAGTACTCTATAATCTGGAAAAAATTATGGCAGGATGTAACTTTCTTTAGAAGAAGAAGTTTTTTGGGGTCTTCCAACGGAGCAAAGCTCAGGGAGCCAAGGTTCCATTTGGATGCCAGGAAGCACTTCCTGACAGTCAGGACCCCGAGGGTGTGGAATGGGCTTCCACGGGAGGTCGTTGAGGCCCCATCGGTGAGGGTGTTCAAGGATAGGCTGGACATGTACATGGTGGGCAAGTCATGAGCGGAGCCGGCTGGAGCCGGGGGTCAGACTAGATGGCCTGGGAGACCCCTTCTGACTCGCTCTGTTTCTATGTTTATTTATTTAAACCATTTTTATGCCGCCCCATTCACAAAAAGCCTCGGGGCAGCTTACAACAATAATAAATAAACATAAATAAACAGTTTGTACAATTAGAGTTAAAAAAAATGGAAACATCTCAACATGTACACAAAAACCCCATAAATACAATTCATAAATTAACAATTAAAATAACTTTTAAATAAAAAGGTCTTGGCCTGGTGCCGAAAACCAAGTAATGTTTCTATGCATTATATCATTAGTCCTATTTGCTGGCTTGTACTAAATTTTGGTCCTTCCCACTTAGAGTTTTCATTTTGGCTAGTTTTTCTTGTCTGAACATTTTCCCCAAATGGATAGCATTAGGCTCTTGGCATATTAAAATAGACAGACTTCCTCCTAGAGTTATGGTTACAGAGACATGTGATAGACGATATAATGTCAATCACATTTGATCCATTTTTGCATACTAAACTCCAGACTCAAATCCAGACTCAAAACTTAGAAAAAAACTTAGAAAAAATTGGAAGCATACTTTGATGATTAAACTGATTTTTACTTTAGATCAGTAAGTGGATGTTAATGAGTTTCTGTCATTTTTAGAATTCATGCTAAATACAATTTGCCTGCTAAAGCCAAATGACAATACTTGGAATTGAACATTTGTTAGGTTCTAGGCTTGGTCCTAATGCTTTTAGAGTTTTACAATCTGCTTTGTTATTGGAAATACTTTTTGAGGTTGATCACTTATATTGACCCATGATTCATACTTGCTTTCACTGAAAAATTTGGTACACAGGGTCTAAATCAGGGATGGAATAGTGTATTTGAATATCATATTCAGTCCAATCATGCCAAAAGCTCTGCTTCATGATGCCACAACATCTCTTAAGTAAGGGGTTCTCTACATCAGCTAACTGCTGGAGGTATAATGCTGCTAATGCTTCCTTTACTCGTTAGTTTTGGCAATATGTATCATCCTTTTTTGGGGAATAGGCTATCATACAGCTAAGCTTTGTATTGGAACATGCTGTAATATTTATTGATACATATGTTTGTATAAATTAGCTACTTGCTTCCTAATGCTAATGCATGACCAATATAAATGGATTTTCCATACCCTTTTGACAGCTAAAGGACAATATTACATTAGAAAGATAAATGCTCACTTTGTATAATGCAATGGATCAAGCATATAACAATGCTTTCGATATTTGAACAAATGGCATACAGATGCCACTTTCAAATGGATACAGAGACGGAGATTTGCTCTGCATTTGTTGAAGTTTATGTTCATTTCTATGTTCAGACTTTTGGTCAAAATGGTGATGTAATCTAGCCACTATGTCCATCTCCCATTTTCAGCTTTTATGACTTAATTAGTACTATTATGCTACCTAGATATTTGCATCAGCATTGGTTTATCTTTTGTTTTAATTTGGCATCTGCTTGTATCTGCCAGCTGTTTGTAGTGGTTTTCTTTTAAGCTTTGTCTAAGGTATGTTTGATGATGACTGCTTGTAGAATGAAGAAAGGTGCAGGGCCCACTGACTTCCCTTCCCAAATCATCTCCTGCAAATGTTTGTAAGACAGAGTTACTGGAGAAGGCAAAGGAGAAATTGATATGGAGTTAGTCAGTGGAGTTAACTCAGCAAGAATTTGGAACAGATCCATTATTTAATTAAAACTCTGCAGGGATCTGTGGATTATACTGATTCATCATAAATGATGCAAAAAGAAGTAAAAATATTGGAAGATAGGGTCATCGCTCATGATTTTGCAATGTCCACTTTACCTGTAACAATCATGGCTTATATTTTGTTTTGCGAAATCTGTTCAGGGAGAGCTAACCTGTGCTAGGTTTGCCTGAACAACCTTCACAAATAAGGCTAGTGGAATATCTGGAT